AGGAGTAATTCATTCCGAACTCCTCAATTTACAGCGAACTGTCAATACAGAGATCTATAGTCAGCAACTGGAGCATTTAAATCAAGCCCTTCATCAGAAACGCCCTTCACTCGTCAATCGGAAATGTGTTCTTCTCCACGACAATGCACGTCCAAATGTGTCACGTTTGAAGCAACACAAGATTATGGAGTTGGGTTGGGAAGTTCTCCCTCACCCACCATATTCTCCAGATATGGCACCATCAGATTACCATCTTTTTCATTCGCTGCAACGCCATCTTAATGGGAAAACGTATGCAACCGTGGACGGTGTTAAAGAGTGTTACGTATTGATAATTTAAAATAATAGTTTTAATAGTTGCACTGTACCCTGGATTTAGTGTTTAGAAATATGCCGATATTTTATTTAATTCATGCTACTTGTCAACAATATTGATTCACACCATTTTTGTTTTGACACAAATACGTTTTAATATATATATATACAACGGTATAACTTACAATGGCAACTATTACGATTAGTTATTGCAAACAAAGTTTCATAAACGGAAATTTCACTAACTTACAAATAACCTAAAATCGTCTTCCTAGTTCAGAGTCTCCTTGATATATAGCGAGTTAACTTGAAGTCGATGTACATATAATTGGCGGGAAGCTAGCTAGCTTTGTCAAGCACTGAATTGTTGGATCGTCGAAGTAAGATAATATTTTCATAAAACCACTATTGTCCGATGAGAAACCAGCAATATTTTTGGATAGATACTAACGTTTGATGAGAATTCACTGACGTTCGAAATTTATAGCTGTTCCTGGCCGAATGTCGTATATTTTCCGTATATTGATAAGGGTTAGCACAGTTTATAGCTTACACGGTTATAACAGTTTCCTAGTAGACTTTTCTCTTCTCTGTTGTCTGTTGTTTTTATAGACGGGACACATTTTCTCGAAACTTCGGTAATGCCGGTTACGGAAGTGGATATATTGTTGATTCTTGTGTTCACGAATATTCTACAATCTTGGAGAATTGGAGGGAGTTTCACCTTACGTAACTAACACGATAAGCTAGACACGCCCTCAAATATAAACTTTATTCGAAACACGTTGACATTAAAATAAATATATAACAAATTCGTTATATGCAACACATATCTGATACTACAAGTCATGCATATTTCTAAATACAAATTCAATCCAAATAATGTTCATATTAAAAATAAATACATTATGATAAATTCGTTACAAAGAGGACATCATGTTTTTTGCTTCAAAGCCAAGTGATTTCTTTCATCAGATCATTAACAACCTGATTGTAAAATAGAAAAGCATTATCGATAAGAATGGAGACTATTTCATTTAATAAACGTTTTGTTTTGATCTATAAGTTGTTCCGGTTTTTCATCTAAAAATAAGCGACATTAATTTCTTGATGACCTGATATATATATTCCGCTTTATAAGCAACGGACGTATTTTCTAATTGATTGTAAATTATCGACAGTTGAAATGCAAACGTTTTATTTTGCTAGTGATAGTGTTTTATACACACAAATATATATATGTACCAAGAGTAGTGTGTAAATGTATTAGAACAACCCATTGCGCCTGTGTGTTTGGGTTTTTGTACCTATCAAGTAAAACCATTACAGTATAAAATATTGAAAAGACATCAAAATAGGGAAATTATTGATTTTCTCACTTTATGATTTTACGTAGATTCATAAAATAGTAGTTCAATAGAATTTTGAATGCAAGTCAACAAACGCGATGACATGACCTTTGACATGTGACCCGTCGAGATAGGGTTAAAGTAGTTCTCTTTTTTCCCCTTTATCCTTACTATTTTATTTATCCTTGGCAGGCATTTAGGTTCTAGGCACTAGGGGCGCTCATAGATTGAAAATTCGTCTTCTTCGTTTCTTATATTTCTTATTCGACCTTATACATCTCTCATTTACATACCTTATACCTATTTCTATCTGAATTCTGTCAAACTCGGGGAATCAAAACCCGGATTTTAGTATTGTAAGTCCGGAAATCTTCTGCTGACCTACCAATGGACAACCTACTAGGTGACGGGAGAGCTGGTTCGTGATACTTCTTTCTTATTCCTCGTAAAACAAACAAGAAAAGTAACACGGAAATTCAAGAATCAGGTGTCTGAAGAGGCTTTTTGTATTATCATTACTCATTTATAACTAGCTTATTACAGTGAGGATGTAGTTGAATAAATTAAGAAGAAACATAATACTAAAGATAGAATGTGTCTTTCTAGCTAAATAGTAATATCAAAGATGAAAACAGTGTTCAAGATTGGTAAAGCACACGTTTTTTTATTATTTTTCTTGGTATTGCGGTCTTTTCCACTGTTTGTTTTCCTAAACGCAATACCAAGAATTATGACACACTAACGTGTTTCTATCTACACAAGTCTGAACAAGTTACGAGAATAAATATCAGGTTTTGTCAGTGTAATCTTCTTTTTACGTAATTTTTGTTTGTTTATAGTTGAAAATTAAATCAGCATTAATCTGTGTTTCCATCATAGTCACACAGACATTGTTCGTAAAGTATTTTATTACCTTCACAACACTATGATTACGAACTTCTTTGTATTGTTATTTACATTATACATTAGGCTTAAAGATGTGATTTTCTACATTCCTACCCCATTAAAATAACGTATGAATATATATATATATAATAAAGTTTCCGCCCATAAGTTGCCTCTGTGGCGATGCGTTCATAAATCTACGTTACTACTACAGGTGGCATATTTCTTGTAAAAAAACAAAAACAAAAAAAAACCGTTAAATTTGGGTTCTTACACATATTGCATTGAGCAAGTGGTTGTATATATCCAAATAATGCATACATATTTTACCACAGTCAGCAACCAAGTGCACTTTAGATAAACAAAAGTCATGTTTTGACTCGAAATTTCGGTTATGGATTTTCTCCAGGAGATCAATTTATAACAACAGACACTCGATAATGTTGCTTGTGACTGGGAAACTTATTAGTACGTTATTTGCATTATTTTTTTACATAATTATTACCCTGAGCATGGTTTAATGGTAGCTTGCCTGCATTTTCAATAAGACCAATTGTCGCCAAAACGCGCTCCGTACATTGGGCTATGGGTGCGTTATAAGAGCGACGATTAAGTCCTACTATTTGATAAGCCTAGTGAGTACTTTTGACAAGCTATTATATCCCCCATTAGTCTGGAATTGGAATAGACGCATATATAGCCTCTAGGTGGATTTGTAATTGTAAAGTTTATTACTTTTTTAAAGTTAAACTTTGTGTTTGTTATAACATATTTAATTTTTTTATTCCGTTTTTTACTGAAAATCTTCACTAAACGTTTTTGAAAAGCGGCCTGTACGTTTTTAAAATGTTTTTTATGTGGTAAGCACGGCGAATGTGAAAAAATTATGTATAGGTATTCGATATTATGTTTTTAGGACGCTAGTCTTGATGTAATTCTTTCAAATAAAGTTAGTACATAAAATATATATGAATGTCCTTTTTACCTCACTGTCTTATCTCAAGTCTCTGCTCTAGTGAGTTTTAGCCGTCATGAGCAACCTAGCCACTTCTATTGTTTTATTTGATTGTGATTTGGCAGGTTTTGCTAATATTTTTTGTTGTAAAATTTGTTTATTTATTAGTTTGTATTGCTAAACACCTTTTTCACATTACTTGTTTATTTTTCTATTTAAAAATCTTATATTCTGTGTTTGTGCTCATTGTCAATGGATCAATGTAAAGACTGAATGCTTTAACACTAAAATTTGGTGATCGACCCCTGTGCTTGATACAGCGCAGAAAACCAATTCTCCAGCCTTGTGTTTTAAAAGAACTTTGTTGATCAACAAGGACTTTTACACAGTGCACATGAAGTACTGTCACTAGCTTTGTTGATCCACAAGGACCGTCACACGATTCACACATAGTATTGTTGCTAGCTTTGTTGATCTTTTCGTTACCCTCGATAGGTGTGAAACAATTATCAAAATTATTCTTGACTGAGGAGGTTTTCGCTCACGTTAGAATATTTATGTCGAATCGCAATTAAAGAAAACATAATTATTTTATTTCATCAGTTAATTCAAGAGAAATTCGATAATAGAACTGATATGTGACGTCAAGAGCTTAGAGACCAATCGTTTCATAGCACTGGTCACACGCCTATAAAAGTTTCAGTGCAATTTCCTTCAACTGTATATTGACTTCATGTGTCAACACTAAAGTATCCAGTTAACGTCACAAACTTGTTGCTGATAACGTTGAAAGCACGTTCTGCGAACCGCCTACAATCAAGAAACTTTGCAAGTTGTACAGATAGAATTATACCTGTAAAGATAAATAGTTTGAAAGAACTCACGTGCTAAATTTTTCCAGTACACGTTTTTAAAGATCCGAATATGGGAGGCGTGGTAAGCTATTTTTGGCAAGGAGAAAGTCCAGATATTGATATACCAGATGAAGGAACGGGTCTAAGTCTCAGAGACAAACAAAATATTCGAAAGACGTGGTCCATCGTTCAGAAAGATTTGAAAGGAAATGGCATCGAACTATTTGTCAGGTCAGTCAAATTTTGATTATTTAAGAGCATTTTTGCGGAGTTTTGGTTTTTAAGGTTTATTTATAGAACTTAAATTAACAATTATACAATACCATAACAGAACAGCTTGTAATGTCCTTGTGATTATTAATTTATTGCGTTAATTATCATCAGGACTATATCTGTTTCCGTTCGAGATAAATTTATTATGGTTTCAATTACTTTATGCAACGTGATTAGCTGTAACGTAGTGTCAGTCACAATGAGTGCGTGTATACGTTTCTTTGGCTATTTCCACCAGGATTACCTTAACGATACTAATACGTATTTACATACGTTATGAAAACGATTACAGAAACCCCGTTAATGTACATCCAGAAAGTAAACTTTTATCATCTGATGAGTCCCCCGGTGGAACAGTGGTAAGGCTTCGAACTTACAACGCTAGAATTAGGGCTTCGGTTCACTTCGGTGGACACAGCAAATAGCCCAATCTGGCATTGCTATAAGAAAAACACACACACAAACACATATTCATTTGATGTTTTTCATGCTTTACAACTTACTGCTCCCTAGAATCTTCTTTGTACTGTTTCGAACTTTACAGACATCAAAAGCCACCCCGGTTCCATATATACCACTCCCCTCCATAGTCTCCTTAAACAATGTTTCCTGTCAGTCCAATACTGTATGTATATAACCTTAATCAAATAATAGCGTTTAAAGATAAAATATTTCATCATTCACATGCATAATTTATTAAGTTTTGAAGGTTATCTGTGTTTACATATATCATAGTTTCGCCTTCCTCTTAACTCAAATAAAACTGTATTTTTTATTACTCAAAATATCAAAGGAAAAGAATAAACAGAAGCACCCTTGTCTTTTGTTTTGGCAGAGTTTGCTCATTACGCATAAAATATTCATTCCTATTATTATTTTCCAAAACTTAAACTGGTAAACGGTTTGCTTTATCCTGAGCATTATGCACTTATAGAACAGGTCTGCAATATTGCATTATCAACCTTCGCCTACTTTTGATTCTAGAACCAACGAAAGCCAACTTAGTTCAAAAATAAAAAGAATTGGTGCAAATATTTTGTTTTCTTAATGAAAATTTCAATGATAACATTTTTGCAAAGTTCAATTTACAGAAAAGCAAAATCCGCTTTAAAATAACTTTCAAAATAATCCGCTAAAGGAAGCAGTTTCACAAACTAATACACAAACCAAGTGCACTAGGGATCACTGGACTGAGCGCTTACAACATGAGAACCTAGTGACCACGGCCAGCGAATTCTTACCTTATCTCTCGCAACTTTTACAATATCTGCTAATTTTAGCGCTAGCGACATCAAATAATGAATTCAGTCTACGTCTACTTAACTGAAACAGTTACCTACCTATTTTTAGCTGTAAATAAATATTTATTTTTGTAACATGCCACATCAGCAGTGGATGAGAAAGAACACCAATTAATAAAGATAAAGAATCCCCTTCCTCTTCATCCCATCACTCTCGTTCCTAAGGTTCATCTTGCATAGCTCTGCTCAGAACGAGTGTCATCTAATGCCACTGTTCCTTCTGTCTTTTTTTCAGATGTTGTCATCCTTAAAGGTAACACACTTGCACGTAATCTACTTGATAACGTGAGGTGTGATATTAGCAATTTTCTGATCTGCATGATACTTCTCTGTATGAATTGCTTCCCTTTAAATGTATAGCTAAACAGTAATTATTATAGTGTAAGTGTCGTGGCATTACTCACATTGCATTTTATTCATGTGCTGTAAAATTTAACTCCTAATTCACCTAAAAATCATCATTGAATTACATTGAAGAAAATATGTTGTGGCGAATTAGGAGCTAAGCTGAATCTAAATTCAGCTTTACAGCACATGAATAAAATGATGCAATGTGAGTAACATCAAATTGCTTTATATTGCTGCGCATATGAGATATCTTCTACTGTTTCAGCTAAAGACTTTTAGCTTTTTACAAGCGTTTTTGGTTGGCTTTGTCTTTCTATTAGCAGGCTGCTTTATTTTTTATATACCAGATTCTTTCTTGATGAATCTATAATAGGACGCCCTAAAGGGCACAGTAACCCTCAGTTGCATCATTGTTTGTTTTTGAATTTCGCGCAAAGCTACACGAGGGCTATCTGCGCTAGCCGTCTCTAACTTAGCAGTGTAAAACTAGAAGGAAGGCAGCTAGTCATCATCACCCACCGCCAACTCTTGGGCTACTCTTTTACCAATGAATAGTGGGATTGGCTGTCACATTATAACGCCCCCACGGCTGAAAGGTCGAGCATGTTTGGTGGGGCTGGGATTCGAATCTGCGACCCTCTGATTGCGAGTCGAGCGCCCTAACCACCTGGCCACGCCGGGCCAGTTGCATCATACTACTTCAGTGTGGCTAATGGGAAATATTCAGATTAGGCATTCGTGTTTTACATGTCTCGTCTTGTCACTTTGTGCTTAAAGCAATTAGGGGACAGAAACTTTACCAGCATTTACAGATTACAGAATATTTGATATACGCAGCAATTATATATATGTGTGTGTGTGTGTGTGTATAATTTGCATAAATGTTTGTAATTTTGTTTTTACTTTGTGAATAAATAAAAGTTAAAAAATGTGTAGTTTGTGATTTTAGCCTTTAAATCCACTGTACATTTGGATACTCTCAATGCAGTAAATTTGGGTTAATGATGAACACCAGGTTATTACTGTGAGTAAAACAACTGCTGAAGTCGGACTAACATAAGTAATATGCCTCAACTAATTAAACGTTTCATTATATTGAGTCATTATAATAGCATTGATTTGAAGGTAAACATTATAGAAGGTGTAGATTATCAAAATATGAAAAGTTCGGGCAAGTAAAATATTTTTTTTAGCTACTTAGCGATAAATTCAACTATAATAACTGCCACTAAAGAATATTAAAGAAATTTTTTCGTTAAAAATATAACTTGACGTTTTTCTTGCTTTCTAAGTATCTTAACATATATATATATATGTTGGCATGATCTGATACGACACATGTTGAGAAGTCTTTAGAAGTATTCTCGTTAAATTAAATGTTATCATCTAGCTGTGAAACAGAAGAAAAAAGGATAACAATGTTAAAAGAAATGTGGTAATTTAATATTTAAAATAATCAAATGGATGAAATGAATATATAATATCATCAAAGAAAGTCTTTAACGGATATCAAATCGGTATATAATAAAATGAAAAAAAAAAGTTTAAACGGATCAAATTTATATATGATATAATCAATGAAACGTTTCAAAATATTTGGACATATTTTGGTACATTTCTTCATATTAGTGTAACTGTTTTCAATATATTATCTAGCTTGTACTTTTAAGTGTCCTGGAGATCTGGGTCACACCCAAGAATCTTGGAAAATTTCATGATAATTGGAGTTCGGAAGTAGGCATTGAAAACAGTAGTAAAGAGGGAAATTGAAATGGCTAACTCTCTTGAGCATATCCAAGAAGCCCTGAAAATTTATTGTTGATCAAAGGCCAGGAACTTGGAAAATGTTCGTCAGGGGCAGACACATATATAGATACAAGCCACATAATAACACACGTTTCTTTTTTCTGCAGTGCATTAACGAACTGTATAGCTTGATCTGCTTGATCTGAGTTGTCGAGTGTATGGTGATAAGATAACTGTTCCATTGGTAATAAATACGCGTCAAATAATAATACCTTCCGATCAGAGTAAGGCTATGTACTTGGAGTGGAACTCAAAATCAAAAGTAAATATTTACAAAGATTAGAATGCATTGTTTCATCAGTATCAGTAACATAAACCATATTTATTATTTCTTTGGAAACTTGCTCTCTCTCTATCACCACACGCATTTTTATAAAGAAACTCAGTACAACACCCCTCTATATAACGCCGGTGACAATTAATGGCATATATTTTAATGAAAAATGTGTCTGGCTGGATACACCAGTTACGCCAGTACACAAACAAAAAAACAATGTTTATGAAGATACAAAACAATAAAAAAATAATATAATGCCTGATCTGGCCCTTATAATATAACAATGTGATATATAATAAAAGAAAACAACTGACTAAACTTAATAAGCAGTTTGTCTAGACACCTTTACCACCAGTCTTTACAGATTCTCCCTTACCCTTTTACTCGTGGGTTCTTAGAATTACTTAGCTATCCCTTGTTACTAAACGCATAGCGGCGGCGGCAGGAAGTAATAAATAATATTAATTCTTTTTAATGTCGAAAAGGAAACACAATAAACCTTTACATAATGTGTACAAATACACTAAGCGCAATATGACAAAGAAATTAAGTAAAATAAAACTAGTCTAAATGAACTAATCATGTATTAACTATATACAATAACAACAAAAACTAACGGTGGTTCCCAAAAAAACATCTCAAGGAATCAAAGAGTAGGCGTGAAAGTTTTAAACAGGTTGCGATACTCTGTAAAGTTTCTAATTCTAGAATCTTTAGCAATAATATTGTTGAATTTTCCACAGTTATGAGTGAATTTCGTGTTTAATTTTTGAAAAGTTTGAACGTAATTATCCACCAGTAATAAATATATGTTAAGACTGAAAGATAATTCACTAATCGATAATAAACACTTGTTAAAGTAAGAAGATACTTTATCCATCGGTATCCAAATCTATTAGAGTCTGGAGATAGCAATGAATATCTACAGTTTGCAATGTTAAACGTTTCTGAACACAAACCAACACTGAAAGATACATTCTAGCAATTATACCTACAAATGGTTGCATGTTCACAAACATATACTAATAAATGCATACTCTATATAAATTAAGTAATTATTAATTTGTAAAATAACATCGTTAATGTAATCATGGTTATTTGTTAGTTTGCAAGAAAAGAAGACAGTTTTGAGTATATATTAATGTGTAAGAGTCCGAGTCCATCATTATGCCACGAGGAGTATGAATTTGTAACCTTTGTTTCAAAGGCTTTTTTTTATTGATGGACATTGCAACTGTAAATTATTTACTCTCAACGTAGAATTATATAATCTCTCTCTTTTATCTTTTTGTTTTAGGCTTTTCGAAGAGTATCCGGAATATAGAAAATTGTTTAAATCTCTGGCCAACATTCCCTGGGATCAATTACGTGACTCTAAAAAACTAGAAGTACATGCGATGTCTGTAATGTACGCTATCAGCTCATTAGTGGATAGCTTGGATGACGTAAGTTGCTTAATAGAGCTTCTCAAGAAAACTGGTGAAAATCACAGACGTCATAGAACAACAGTCGAACAATTTGAGGTAGGCCATCAAACTCTTATTAACAGTAATTGAAAAATATAAACTTTAAAACGAAAGACTGAATCTAATAAGCACTTAATATATATAGTAGGATATTTTATAGTATGTATTTCCCATTTTAATTTGAATCAAGTTTGTTTTTTACGATCTCGGCGTGTTAAAAACGTAACTGAAAAAAAATCAAGTTTTCGCTGTTAAAAGTCATTGTAAAAGACGTTTGCATGAAAATCTCCAAGCTAGAAATTCAACTACATCAAAAACATTTTGAACTCGTAAACAAGTCAAGTTTTGAATAAACTTTAACTTCACCCGCTGGTTTAGGTCAAATGAACCAACCACAACAAAAAAGTTGAAAGAAGAAATGAACAACTTCCAACCTGCAACTCCATATGTTTTAAATCTTTCGAGTGAGCCATGAAGTAATGATCAGATATCTGTCCTAAACTTAGGTTTAAATTTTGCTGTTAAACGTAGATTTATACCAACAGAACTTTGTCGTAAGACCCAGATTTGTAAAAATCGAAGAAACAATTACCATATCTTATTTTCGACGGTATAGAGCAGGAACATTTATATAATAGCTTACATTATTGTACCCTATGCATAGAAAGTAATATTTACAAGATTTAGCTAATTAATTACACACACACATATTAACAAATTATTCTTGTTTCCAGAATCTTGCCGTAGTGATGGTGAATATGCTACAGGATGTCTTGGGAAGCTACATTACGCTTTCTGCAGTCGATTCCTGGAAAAAAGCTCTTGCCGTCATGATTAATATTATTAAAGAAGGCTTAGGGAATACTGAAAATGATAACTAGCACAACATCTTTATACGTAGAAGCAAATTTTGGTTGTTCACTGTAAGTAACACTGCAGTGACTATTTGTCTTGTTCCAAAACGATTGTGGTAAGAGTTAAACTCAGTGATCGCATCATCGCAGAACCAAGGGCGTTTTCGAAGTTGAACCGATCGCATTTCGAAACATAATTCTATTATATGCTTGAATTACTTTTCCGCATTATGTTTTTGTTGAAAAATTTAGCATTTCACAAGAAAAAAGCAACCGAAACGCTTTCAGTAAACAAGGGTAGTTCATGAATACAGGTTATGATCTGTCGATAGTGCTTTGTGATGGCAAACTTTGGTTGGTTTGAATAAATAAATAAATATAGTTTTAAAAATAAGATATTATTATTGCTAGCTGGTATTTATTCTATTTGATATTTGAGAAATGAAAAGCAGACTCGGCTAATTTTTTATTATCTTTATTTGATAATTCCTTTTTTCTAGAATAATTTTTATATCGCTAACAGATAATGGTGATTTCTGCGTGAGGCTGGTTAATTGATGTGTTGTCAGTGCATTTGCAATCTATCAGTTTTAGCAAAAGTTTGAAAACGTAAATTCACAAACAATTATATTCTATGTATTAGAACAATTAAAAGCAAGAAAACAAAAAAGTTTGGACAACTGCCTCTAGGATGATGTTAGAATGCATACATACTTTATGTGTGTGTGTGCGTGTGTATATATATATATATATAATGTTTACAGCATCTATATAATAATGGTCAATCGTACTCAATAGTACTCCTCCCAAACTTTTTGACGAAGAACGGCTTGAAATTTTGCAATTAGGCTGTTGACCCCCCTCCCCCGATAGAATAAAAACGAAAACGGTTCGAAAGAATCATGAGGAGACCCCAGATATGAGGGAGTCACAAGGGTTAAGGCCTCTCAGGTTTTACTTGCCAGATTTGAAAATCAATATTAATGGGTACTGGGAGCTCTTAGAACTGGGGTCCCCCGGTGGGACAGCGGTAAGTTATCGGATTCACAACATTAAAATCAGGGGTTCAATTCCCCTCGGTGGACACAGCAGATACAAGAAAACACACACATTTAGTACTGGGTCCATGGATTTGCATGAAACTTGGATCAACCTAATATGTGAATAAGGAATTTTTTTTTGGGGGGGGGGTGTTAGGATTGGCTAGATAGATTTACTTTTAAGGTGACCAAATCACGTAAACTCTTGTTCAAAATAAGATGTGTAGAATTTGTTTGCATTATTCTTGTTAATGCTGAAATCTGACACGCGCGAGAAATTTCTGTGCATAGAAAATCTGATTTTTATGTTCACATAAAATTCAATATAATGGCATGTTATTCATTTATAGTGTATATTTATGGTACATCTGAATCCGTACTTTAAAACTGATGATTTTCATTTTGGATTTAGTTTAATTCATCGTACATGTCCAAAGGAATAGCGATATTCATATAAACGCTTTTTTTTATATTTTTTTGCAAACCATATAAGTTTTTGAGACAATTCGAACAAGAGCACTACATAATGTTTGGTACTAAAGAGGAAAATATAGTACAAACTTATTTTTAATTGAAACGTAAGAATGCTAGAAAACAATTTATATCAACATTTTGAGATGATCTACACAAACTTACGTTCTTCTCCTTTAATTATATCACTAACAATTCTACTTGTTTGAACATACTGGACACGAATTTAACTCGTTAACGCATCAAGCACATAATTTTAACTTGTTTTAACACTCCAAACGTAATTTTTGTTCGGCAACGTATCAAACGCCCATTTGTACTTTTTTTAAAAAAAAAAAAAACTATGCCGCATATATTGTCTGCTTGCTACATCACACTTGCTAAATTAGGAAACGTACATTTTGCAGAAATCCATATTGGGCACTTCTTTCCAACATAATACAATACGTGTTTTCTACTAGTTTTTAGTATACAACACTCTTTATTATTTTCAACGTACTACAACACGTGCTACACAAACATACTCCATTTTAACGTTTCGTATTCTTATGGACCTGGCATCGTCTGGTTGTTATCGTGCTGGATGGTGGATGTGAGAGTCCCAGATTCACGACCCGTTACCACACATACACACAGGGACAATGGCTGCGTTATAAAAGTGGCATTCAAATCTCACTATTTGATTACACTATCCTAAGGGTTGACTTGGATACTGTTGACTAGCTGCCTTCTTTCTAGTTTATCAGTTCTGCTAGTGCAGATAATACTGGTAAAGCTTTGAGCTAAGTATCCTAAAATAAACAAATACACTCTGATATAAATATATCTCTGCGTGTAACACACTTTCTACTTCTTTTTACCACGTTAATAACGCACACTCAAACACTTCTTTTAAAATAAGGCACACTTACTTTGTACTTATACTTCACATGCTACACAGAGTTTTATCTAATCCTTTCCATTAGATCGCAAGTTCTTTGTACTTTTAAAAATCCACTCCTACTGTTTCTGTTTCGTTCTGTAACATGTCATCTACTGTTACTTTATGATTGTTTAATATCAATCAGTTATCCCATTTTTATTCTGATATGAAACGCAAAATAAAATTAGTTTTGCTTTAAAATCCTTAAAATCCATTAATTTTCTTTATTTAACTTAAATTAAGTAAATTGCTATGTAAGTGTCTTACACACCCCTTAAATACACAGAGCATATATATTCATATATATATATATATATACGCAGCGTCACCTATCAATTTATTTATTTATCTTTTTAAACTTAACTTACATACCAACTTAGTTTTAATTCATAAAAAGTCCAGATACTTTATATTAAGCGTAAACAAAAATGTTCTATGTATCATTATTGTATTTTTTATAACTTATATAAAATGTGAATTTCGATGTATGCTTATTCAGATGTTTAATAATAAAACCATTATATGAAATACAATTTTGTCATTAAATATATATATATATAAAGCCAGTAAAAGTAAATTTACATGCGTGGTTACTCAATGATCTTGGGCCTTAAATAACTAACAGAACAAAAAAATAGGATGATTATCTAAACATTCAATATGGAATAATATTTCTAAGCCTAGCAGTACAAAAAAGGCAGGGTAATTATGTGAACATTTAATATGAAATAACATTTCCAAGTCTGGCCGTACAAAAATAAAACAATATCAACAACAAAAAACAAAAATAGCGTAATAAAATGAACATATAATATGTAATAACACTTACAAGTTTTTGAAAAGTTTAAATCCACTTTACTCTCATAATAGTTGTATATAAAAGAATTAGTGTTTTCGTAGATATTTTATTTAGCTTTATAATTTTCATAATAAAAGGATTTAATTTTGATTGTCAACTTACTGTTTTCGCCAATCCCATGAATCTGAGCTAGCTAAACTGATGTTTTAAGGTATCCCAGAATTTTTTTCCAGTGAATCAATACGAAAGAAAATTAGAAATTATTCAAACGAATTACAATGTCTTTCATAAGTCAAAATAAAACAGACATTTTCAATAAAATGTGGTTAACACCCGAGCTCATAAAACATGGCGGTAAAAAGTAATTAACCATTTATGACAAACACTCCATTCTAGTACTGTTAATATGAAAACGTCGTTTTGTCAAAAACAACAATAAAACATCTATAAGAATAAAGTTTGGTATAATACTGTTAAGAGTCCTTAAAAATCAACTCGTCTGGTGATCAGAAATATCTTAAAGTAATAATAATCGTAAGCGATTGAGCTTCATTAAATCGTTAAATATAAAACAAAGCAATACATATATCTTCTATTTTGTTTTCAAGACATTAATGTGCAGGCCCGGCATGGCCAGGTGGTTAGGGCGCTCGACTGGAGAGTATGAACGAGTGGATGACACACCTGCCATCCTAGCAAGAAAACCCAGGATCGAATCCCGATCTTGCCAGTGATAAAATTGGGGTTTTGAAAAAGGTTGCACACCCTTTTGTGAGCCGCCTGGACATGCCAACCAGAAGACCAAGAATGCTAATGGCTTGAATCATGAAAAAGCGGAATGCCGTTCCTGCCTGTTCTGCCTTGGCTCTTGCCGTCACATGCGGTCTTTTTCAATACTTTCTTGTAAATGGGAGAAGCAGATTAGCAGCCAAAACGTAAGGTATAATAATAATAATGTTATAAATTAATTAGTAATGAGAATTAAATGATCGTATAGGATGTCACTGCACATTAATTGTTTGTTTTTGAATTTCCCGCAAAGCTACACGAGGACTATCCGCGCCAGCCGTCCCTAATTTAGCAGTGTAAGACTAGAGGGAAGACAGCTAGTCATCACCAACTCTGGGGCTACTCTTTCTCCAACGAATAGTGGGATTGACCATCACATTATAACGCCCCACGGCTGAAAGAGCGAGCATGTTTGGTGGGATGGGGATTCGAACCCGCGTCAATGATTTCATTATCATATTATTTGTCTTTCATACGAGGATTAATCTTCGAAGCGAACCTCAGTAAATGAATGTTCTTAGATTGTATTTAAATAAAGCATAAGAAAAAATTTATTCTAAGCACTTTAGCGTAGATATATGTAAAAGAATGAAATCGAGCCAAAACGAATGAAGCTCAAGCATGTTTTTCATAGTTTTGTTTTTAAATAAACGTTTTCCATTGAATTAAGAAACAAATCACCTTTTAATTTCGACATCTGTTTAGGAATAAAAAAAAATAGTTCTCTGTTCTGGGAGAGTGTTGGCAGTCTGGAGTTTAGCGAACAGTATCTTCGTGAATACTGTACCCTTTTACAAAACAAAAAGAAAAATATCCTTTACATCATATTTTCTACTATTAGAAACCTTAAATTTAGCAAGGTTTACTGTTTTATGTGTATACAAAGCTAAAGCTTGGAAATACATCAATCAGAAGCTGTGAAATTGAACGGACTCGATCATAACAGTGGATTAATTGTAGAAAAGATATTAATGTAATTTAAAGATATAATGTTTGTTTGTTGTTAAGCTCAAAGCGACACAATTGGCCATCTGTGCTCTGCCCACAGTGGGTATCAAAATACGATTTTTAGCACCATAAGCATTCAGTCTTACCGCTGAGCCACCATAGGTCTTGGCAAAGTTATAGATTTATATTGGTATATTCATATTTTGGGGTAGATATCGATTAAGTTATTAAACGCTTTCATACTTGCGTGTAGTGAGATTATGTTTCTTAGAGATATGTGTGCAATTGATTCTAACAAGAAGTAGAACTAAAAATATGACTGTTTATCAAATTAAAAAGTTGTAACATGTGACACTAAAAAAAAGATTCACATTTTGACGAGGGATAATAGTTACAAATTATTTTAAATCATTTTGTTAATTTTCTTTTATAACCTAAAACCTATCAAAAATCGACTAATGTATGAAAGTCATTGTTCGAATACGTTATACTTCTAAGATAGAATAAGGTGGCGCCATCCGTTGATTGCTTATGACGTAGTTATACATTTCTAGAAAAAAAGATGACTGGGTTTGCATAATAGGTTGTATCCTTGTAATATTATCTCCCATTGCAATAATGTTGCTTGGCTACTTCCAAAGAATTGGAAGCATCTAAAGAAGAAGATACTTTCTGGCTTCCTTGTCTCCATAATTATTCATTCCATCTTTTTTGGTGGGTCATTTGGGAGGCTTGTTAGAAGGAAGGCAGCTAGTTAATACCACCCACCACAAACTTTGGGGTTACTTTTCTTGCCAAGAATAGTGGGACTGCCTGCAATATTATAACACCCTCATAGTTGAAAGGACGAACATGCTCATTAATGGGGATTTGAATCCGCGACCTTCAGAGTACGAGTCGAGCGCCTTATCCACCCAGCCAAAGATGTCTGGGCAGGAGATTGTTTAATACAAAGTTAAGATCCACCATTAAGAAACAAAGAGCAAGTTTTGACAATTTCGCGCGTATTTTCTAGTCTGACGTTTGTTTGTCAAAGAAACGCACACACACAGCTTCTTTCTAAAAAGGAAGTTCTAAGTTGCTTTAGGCATATGACGTCATAAAGTGACCTTCAGGAGCGTCAATGTTTGACATGAGTTAAAACTTCAATATTTTCATAACATAAAAAAAATGTCACCACACGACCCCTGATAAGAAATCAAATATATTTATACAATTTTTGAATGGTTACAGTGCCCTATAGCCTTTACCAAAATTCACATCAAAAACCAAGGAAGACATTTTTTACGAATAACACCAAAAACATTTTTATGTGAAAATAAAAATAAATTACTTAGAAAAAAACAACAATGCTAGTATTGCTGCTTTAGAAAAATGTCTAATAAACAATTTCAAAGTTGTTTATAAATATCCCAACACCTTTAAAAATTTCTTACCCTTGAACAAATCTGCCCCTCGCGATAAAGAACAGGGTGTCTATATAGCTTCTTGTCAGTCATGCGAAATTGCTTATGGTGGTAAAACGGGAAGAAATTTAGATATAAGGCTAGCAGAACATAAAAAAGGATGTTAAAAATGGTAAAAAAACTAATGATATTAAAACCTATTATTTTCACACATGAGGAATCTTCAAATCAACTAGATAACAGTCAAACTAATACATAAAACTAGACATTATGTAGAAGAATTATGAAAACGTCACTAATCGAAAGATTACCAAACTTTTAAAATCATTTTAAGCTGAACTGCTTTCTGGTATTTTATGCCCTGAAGCAGCTTTGAACTTCTAATATAAAATAAGCTGTATGTGCGTTTCTTTCGTATACGAATATTAAACTGAAGAAGACGTATGAAAGTGTTGAAACTTGTTGTGGATCTTAACTTTATTTTAGAGTATACGTTATTGTGTATTTATTCACTATTAGAAGACTATTTCCCTAGTTCTTCGGTATAGCACTTTGTTGCACAGAAAAGTCAACTATAACGTTGACTAAAAGCGCCCTCTATGGATTTTATATGCTTTTACTTTAAAATATCAAATTAGTACGAAGGTAAGACCTTTTGTTTTTCTTTAAGGTGTTTGAATGCAAATTTAAGTATTTTTGGCATGTTCATATAAGTTTATAGCATTAAATTTCAGAACAAAAATTATTCCGCGATATTTTCGTTACGCAACTGGCTATAGTCTCTGTAGTGCCGATATGTAAGAACGAATAATCCCAAAAATGTTTAATATTATTTTTCGCAATGTAAAATAATTTAGGAAGAACATTTATTGATCACAGTCATTTTCTAAAGGTAGCTGAAGCTTCATGATAAATCGAGTAATAACAACAAAATGTCACGGAATCTGTTTGTTTGTTATTAAACACAGAATGGGTTATCTGTGCTCTGCCCACTGCGGGTATCAAAACTTAAATTTTAACTTTGTAAGCTGTGAGACTTACCACTTAGCCACCAGGTGGCACATCGTGGAATCAGCGAATTTTCTGTATTTTATGACCTCATCCCTAGCCAGAGTGATGTTAATCTCGATAGTAATTAATGGATTTTCTAGGTAATATTTCCTTCATTAAATACATGAAGCAGTTCACAAGAACAACGATAAACTTCAACACCGTTTATTCAACAACATTCAATACGACGAAAACAATCTGGATATTACTGGTGCCAGCATTTAGTAATAGCAATAACTCCAGACTATTCCTCAATAAGTTATATACTCCCTTCACTCTGGTGACTCTGTATGCTTATAACGCTAAAAATCCGGTTTCGATACCGTTGATGGGCAGAGCACACAAAATCCATTGTGTAGCTTTACGCTTAACAACAATAAACAGTAAGTTATTTTTTTATTTAAACACATTGTAATTATATAGAAAATTAACATTAAACGTTTAAGTATTTTTTCACAATTTATATGATCCAAATACCTAATAAGAGTTTAAATGAGAACGAATAGACAATTGGGTTTAGAAAGTCGATCGCCGAGAAGTAAACATCTGAGTTTCTCGAAGATAGATTTACCTTCCTTCCGAGAAGTAAACATCTGAGTTGCTCAAAGATAGATTTACCTTCCTTCCGAGAAGTAAACATCTGAGTTTCTCGAAGATAGATTTACCTTTCTTCCGAGAAGTAAACATCTGAGTTGCTCAAAGATAGATTTATCTTCCCTCCGAGAAGTAAACATCTGAGTTGCTCGAAGATAGATTTATCTTCCTCCGAGAA